GTCGGATCCACTTCTTCATATATATATATATATATATATATATATATATATAAGCAACTTTCGAATTAGCCTACAGAAGCGCAGTGGGTCTCATCCTTGCTCGAAACACCATGTCATGTGTGAACGCTGCCTGAATAATTTAGTTCATCTCGAGACTGAGTGCTCTTGCATAAGAACAATGCAAGAAATTTCCTCTTGTTTTGGGTCTCGCATTCCAGTGCAGTTTTAGGCTTACTAAAAATATTTTACTCGTGGTTATAGTAAAAGATATCTATTTTATAAGCTTATCCGTAAAGCTGTATGCACCAAACATTAGAAAACTCGAAGAGCCCACTTGATAAGTTGTTATATGCGAAAAAATCTTTATTGCTCAAAATGAATGTTATCAATTGACAGAGATTGCAATGGGCATCTAAATGATGTGGCAGTATGACTAAATTAAGAAAATCTGCTCCTTTCTGTAAAAATAAGTATTTTCAATTTTCCTTATTTTTAGCAACAGGACAGTGAAAGCATCAAAGATTTACTCCTAAAGTACAAGGACAAACCTGTACGCCTGGTGGTTTATTCGTCAAAGACACAAACCTGCAGGGAAGTGGACTTGACACCGAGTGCTGATTGGGGTGGCCAAGGCCTGCTGGGCTTAAGCATACGCTATTGCTCCTTCAAGGGAGCTAGTGAAAATGTTTGGCACATCCTTAACATCGAGCCCAACTCACCTGCTGCACTCGCGGGTCTCAAGCCCTACACTGATTACGTTATCGGCACGGATGCCCTGCTGAGTGATGTGAGTTTTTACTTTCCTAATTTACCGACAGTCTTGTTTCATCTCTTAAGCTTACCCACATTCGTATGCTTGTAGTTAACACGACAAACTGCAGAGTTGATTAGGATCGAAAAACGAATTATTTTAAATAATGCAACAAGTACAGATTTAAAGGCAAACACATCGCCAACAACCTCAGGTATTCAATAAGCGGTTCTCTACAGACATAAACAGTTACTGAGTACAAATAAGGCCTCAAAATCAAGTAGCGGAGCGTCGTTTTTGATGAATTCCTAGCTATTAATAACTAACCGTATGTCTGCTCTATTGACTTCTGTGATGGTGCTTTTCTCGCACCCATTCGACGTACTTCCACTGGCCACTAACCATGTCTTCTACCTTATCCTTTAGACAGAGGATTTCTTCTCTGTGGTGGAGGCTCACAACGGACAACCCTTACGCCTTTATGTTTACAACACGGACAGTGATTCTTGTCGTGACGTCACTATCATACCGAACCTCTCCTGGGGTGGAGAGGGAATGTTGGGCTGTGAAATTGGTTTCGGCCTACTTCACCGCATACCATCTCTACCTGAAGAAGAGACAAAAGAAACTAATGGTGTGCCGGATGCCACCGCCGCGACAGCTCCAGTCTCAAAGGATGCTGTCAGCGTCAGCAATGTGCCTCCGTCCCAGCCACCACCTCCGTTCCATGACCATGGTCACGAGTGTTCGGTAAGCTCTTCGCTCAACTCCTTTTCCTTTCTGCCTTCTTCACGGCCATGTTTTGTGTTAGGGTATTGCCGTGATATAGGCGTAGGTAACACTATTCGTGGTTCACTGCTTCAGATTTTCACTTGCTTTATCCACATGTGCGTATGTGTCCTTAAATTGTTGCTTTCGAGAGGTTGTAATCGCAGGTTATATTACTATCAGAGAAGTGTTTTGAAATCGTCCTCTCTTCCATTTCCGTTCTGTGTTTCGGAGGTTTGATTGTATACCTCTGCGCTTGCGGGATGTGAGCCGTGTTCTTCAACTTCGTTAACGTATTCCAACGTTGTTCTTTTACTTGGATGTTCCTCTAAGCGCTCTCTCTCGATGCAGCATGGTCAAGGTGACCAGACGAAGGACGTGAATATTGTGGGTGGTGGTGGTGTGATTATCGTCAGTCCGAATACTTTGCCATGTAGTAATGTCCTTTGCCCTTGAGGTTACGTTTTCTTCTCGACATTTCGGCCTCTGCCGGATTCTTGCTGTTATTGTGAACGCGAAAATTCGTATCCCATAAAAAGACTCAAGTTCTAAGAGTACGTAGTGCTTGTGTGTGCTCACAAAGACCTCCAAGAATTTGTTTTGTATGAAAACTGACTGAAATCCAAGTGTGCAATTTGCGATCATTTGTTTCATGATCTTCTTCTGGTTGGTCATCAATGCACATTTTTCGTTTTCGTGTTGAAAAGACGAGTTCGCTTGATTCCGCTGATAGAGATGTCACATAACTAAAAGCCTTCATAAGATCACATGTTACCGGGCTGGTCAGTGGCTATTAGAACTGAATAGAATATATCATCTAGAAAAGTTCGAAAACCTTCCAAGGTATGTCACATGAGTAGAGTCAAGTTCAGAAATATATTAGGATTTTCGTTGAAAATACCCGGCTAAGTAACACGGCATCAGCACAGTAGAATATTGAAAAAAATAAACTCTTTGTATATATTTTTCCGTTTTGCTATATACAGTAGTCGCCGGTTATTAAGCCCACGGTTAATAGGCCCAGCCGCGTATCAGCTTGGGACGGAATTTTACATAGCAAAATCCGCCGGCTGCAAAGCCCAGTTTGCCAACAGGATAGAGTGAGGTTCCCATCTCTCTGCGTGCGCAACGTGGTCTACAGGCATCAGCTTTCACGAAATTCGACGATTTCTGGTGCCTGGAGAAGGACATCAAAAAGCACTTGCGAG